CAAGTGTGAAACAGACTATAATTGGTTTGCCATTGTCTTCCTATATCAACACTTTTCTTTGTTCTCTAAAACGTGGGGGAACAGAGAACACCCCACTACCGGAATGTTTGAAAACGGCATTTCTATTGTATTGCCTGGTTGTCATTTTATCATTTATATATAAGCTGAAAAATCATTTGTAAAAGTGATATATTTCAGTATTTGTTTTGAAATTCGCAGTATCGTAAAGTAAACATCACATGGAAAACTACGTTGACGTAACTTAATGTTGTTGTCATGGTTGACTTTTCCGAGATATCGTTGTGCAGTTACAGCAAAATGTTGAAAGTTACAGGCTACTATGAGTTACATATAGATCTAGAATGTAACAATGTCATACCATATATAGCAGAAAGGTATATTACAGTAATGCATCACTGCACAATGTAACTATTTACCTCATTATAAGGCTGTTGGTTACAATGATAAACTGTGTATTAAAAAATAGAGGATCTGACACGAGTGTTCATGAAATATTGAATTTATTGAACGAGTTTATTAATTTCATATGCCTAATAAACGAGTTTAATTATGTAATTAAATACTACATGAACACGAATGCTAGATTCGATTCATTTTATAATTCGAGAAACACTTATTTTCTTTTCAGGTCTCCTCTATATAAATTGTACCGATGGTTGACGAAAGGACATGTTACATGCATTTTGTTTAGAGCGCGCTGCGCAACAAAAATGGTTTCAAAAACTTCTCCCCGAGAACCTTTTCACTGAACAAACAACCATTTAGGTTTTCTTCATCAACCAATGTTTTAATAATTATCATAACAACATTAGTAATCATTTTTATACGAAAGCTATTCAACGAATTGGCGTTTACGAAAATAGCAGTGACGTCACATATTTGGCACAACGGTGCGTGCACTGTCAAGGTAAAGGTAATTACAATACACATCGAAGTCTGCACTTTTTTAAAGTTAACAGGGACTGGAGTGATTATCACTCTCTATAACACAGTCGCATTTCTTTGGAGAGGGTTGTTGGTGAATGTGAACCTCGATGTTATACTGAGGAATCCGCCATGAAACTGGAACCCTGATGAAATTGACCGGTTACACGTGTTCGCCATTGATCTTGGAATTTGAACATGCAGGTGTTGGATTTGTGTGAAGATAACACTCGTGTTTATATAATATTGAATTTATTTAACACGTTTTCCCAGGCCCCTGCCTGTGCTATCAATGCAAACAGCAACTCAGTCAGCCATTTTTTTTTACAAACGTAGAAGTTGTAGTGCGTAGGAATATGACCTGTTTCCCACGGTGACAAGACTTTTTTGCATGTTTATTGTACGTGTGCTATATCGTTTTATTGAACGGCAATATTGCACGGAAATAGCCTGTATTAAATAATAATATAAGATATTGCTCTATCGCATAAGTTATATGTAATGCAAATTCGAACCCGGAACCTGCCCAACAATCGTTAGCGGGACCCTCTTATTAGATAAGCTATATATCTGCTAACGCCCTCTGCTTCGTCTCACTTTTGCACAGTTTTAAACGGATATATATGTGTAATTAATATATACCTTGACTTTATACAGACAAGAGGCCCAGACGGTCTGTATCGCTCAACTGAATATCTAAGCAATGATAGCAATATTATAATCAAAAGGAGTATGGCAAATAAGATACCATGGATAGGGTCAGATAGTATCCAAATCTCCACACTTAGCGCATTAATTGTTATAGGGTGGGGACCTTAAATGTTTTCATGTTATGATTCGGGGACTTAGTCCCTTTGGATTGGAGCAGATCCCAAGGCAGACTCTGGTACCATGGTTAAATTAATTGTGTTTGTCTCTTTATGACCAGCAATTGCATACATGGTTATAGAGTGGTGACCTCAACTGTTTCCATGTGATGACTCAATGACTAAGTCGGCAACTCTGTGGGTGGGACTAGACATTGGGATCAATGCCTAGATGTGCATCTTAGCATAGTCAGCAATTTTATATATGGTTAAAGGGTGGAGATCTTCATCATTTTTAGCTACAAATTATTTTTGATCCAACCCCTCAGCCCTAGGGTAAGCTTTTCCATTTAGACAATTTATAGGGTGTGTTCTCCTTTCTCCCACTTTTTATAAAATACAGAGAGGCATTAATGTTGTGATAGCAGTTATAGTCTGTTTCATATATATTTTACCTGGTTTTTACCTGTGTTCTCCCACATTACCTGTATCATATATACAGTACTGTGCAATACATGTAGCTTAGATATACATGTAGTCTATTTTCATCATTTTTAGACATTTTTTTCATATTATATACATGTACTATTTTCATTTTGGTGGTTTATAAAATTTGGGATTTTCATGTCTCTCAGGTCCCCCGTTTGCCCCTGAGGAGGGGGTGAAATTTAGTATAGTTTATATATGAAAAAGATAGAGGAGGTCTGCTGGTAAAATATTTATGAGTCTGACGCCCTAGGGGGCTGAGTTAGGGGCCAAAATGGGGAGAAATTTGGGAAAAAAACAAAAATCTTCTTCTCTAGTTACAAAAATGCCAGGATCAAATACTACCCATAGCTGTAAAAGCGTTTGGGTGGTTTATAAAAATTGTGATTTTCATGTCTACCTGCAGGCCCCCCGTTTGTCCCTGGTGAGGGGGTGGAAAGTATAGTTTATATAGGAAATATACATAATAGGCCATATCTTCCAATGTTTTGAACGGAGTTTGCTCATATTTGACAGAAATACTTTTTAGGGGAGGAAGGTATGCTGTTATACTTTTTGTGACCCTGACCCCCTAGGGGGCTGGGTTTGGGGTGAAAAAAGAGGCGAATTTCAAAAACCTTCTTCTGCAGTTCCAAAACTGCTAGTATCAAATACTACTCATAGTTGTAAAGGCCTTCGAGTGGTTTATATACTTTGTGATTTTCATGTCCCCAAGGTCCCTCATTTGCCTTTGGGGAGGGGGTAAAGTTTGGTATTGTTCATATAAACAATTCGACAAATGAACAGCCATCACATACTTTTTATCTCCAACCCAACTAATGTGCTAGTAATAGTAACAACCTTAATTCTTTAAGAATTATAAAGTCTCCATAGTAACGCTTCCAAGTTCTTACCCTGCATGTCTGAAGTGGTTACAAATTGGCATTACAGAGCAAATGTAAATATTGTGCCATGATTGCTCAAATAACCAGGTGAGCAATGCAGGCCCCCTTGGCCTCTTTGTTTGCATTTATAGTGACATTGTGATAAATGTGCTTGTTATGGAATTTTTATTTGGTGCTTTGGTAAAATTTCTTAAAATTATGGACTTTTCATTATCTGTGCTTTTTATGGTCTTTCCAATATTTTATTAGTTTAATATCATGTATCTTTGTGCATGTGTGCATTTTATGAATATAATTGATTTAACCAACCAGTGGTAGGTATTCCATGTGTACATGTAATTAATTTTGTTTTATTTATTTTTGTCCCAGCTTTGCATCTGTTTTTGCATATTTAATAATGTAATACATGATCTCTCTCTTTACTGATATTATTTGTCATAAATTGCTTGCTAAATTTAGTTCTCTATTTTATGAAATATATATATAACATACATGTAAATGTATAGTAAAAATGTATAAAATTGATTTTATGAAATTAACAAAAGCAGGTTTTCAGTTAACGTATTTTGATGTGTTTTTATTAAGTAATAACTGGAATCTTGTAAATATTTATTCATCATTCCAGTAAATATTACGAAAATCAGAAAATATATTTGTTAAATATTCCTAAAACTAACACAGTATTTCCTATTGCTGAACAGGTAAATACAGGTAATTAATCTACCTGTACTATACCAGAACAGGCTATAATGACACCTCTATTGTTTTCCAGTGTTTATATAATTCCTTTGATCAGAAAAAAGTGGGAGAAAGGAGAACAAACCATTTATAGACCCTATTACCTAGAGATAAAGCATTATGGTCAAATTGGTCCCGCCCCTAAGCCCCCAGGGGAATCGCCGGCCCCTTTATTTGTACAATTTTGGATCGCTACCATCTAGAGATGCTTTCACACAAGTATGGGTGATATCCTTTGCTAAGTTCTAGTTCTCATTTTATCTATTTCGAATGTTTCTTTTTATCGCTTAAGGATCGCTCGTTTACTTCTGTCACTGTTTTTTCTCAAGTAGTATTTGCTATCAAGTGGCTGAGTAGATAGGCTCAAAGGTTAAGGACTTCCCTTGAAAAGGGCATCTCGCAATGTTGGCCATTCGCATTGGTTTATGTAAATGGCATGATGTCATTACCCTGCTTATTGATACAAAATAAATTATTTTCATAAGCAAGACCACACACTCTTGTTTTTTTACTAACGAATCAGAAAGCATGAGTTTATTGCGCGGACTAAATGATGCAAATCACAGTCATTTCAGTGTCCGTATTACTATACCTTTGATCTAAGACACATAGATACTGCCCCGTTCCTGTAATTGCAATTTTTGTTATCAAATATATCTTATACGCGATAAGGATAATTAAATATATACAATAAATATATATAAATAAGTCCGATCTTGCCCCGTTTTGTCCGTTCCTGTAAATCCCCGCCCGTTCTTGCCCGATCCATACCAATACAATACTCATAATTCGTTGCAAATTTTTTTATCAAATATATCTTATACCCGATAATGATAATTAAATATATCTAATATATATATTCATTAATGTATATCATAATTAATATATTTCTGCCCGTTCCTGCCCGTTCCTGCCCGTCCCTGTAAATCGTCGAACCCAGATTTACCACCAGAATTACATATATGCATGCACGTGTGTTGTTTTCCCAAACGGTGTTAGAGGTTGTAATAACACTTTATGACAGCGCTGTCGACGCACAATTGCATAATTCATATTCAAAGAAAATCGGCCTCTTGTGTTATTCATACAAAACCAACACAAGAGGCCGATTTTCTTTGAATAACGCGTGAATAATGTTCAGTACATACTCCTATACAGTATAGGAGTATGTACTGAACATTATTCACACGTTAAAACAGCTTTGCAACTGAGAATGTTATCCAAACACACATACACACACACACTCTCTCCCACACACAAATTAGAACATAATTAATTCACATAAACATCGCGTATCCTTTCACCCGGAAGTTCTTTACCAGACATTATAAATAGAACTGTCTATATATAAAAACACCTAAACCCCAGTCAATAACGGCCCTGACATTTTAGATGTCCGCAAGGGTATATCGCGTACAGCACATGCGGTAAGAGTGTATGACTGCCTTTCAGTTTTCTTCACGGTGACCGTTTCTTCTGTGATCAAGCTCCCATCATTGACAGCTTCATTGAAGGTAAACGATGAGCATGTTTTGTTGTGTTTTAAGTGTACACTCTCAAATCTTATGTATGGCAGGTGGTGGGTTTTTTTCTTGTGTATATGAACAAGATATGGTGGCCTTACTGATCCTTGCATAAGTGACACATATAAAATCTTAAATGAGTTTTCATTTTATAAATATAAATAATACATAATATCAGGACTTAAATCCGTGATAATCTACTACAGTATATACAAATAAATCAAATTAAAATGATGAACTGTTAATCATTAAAAGCGAATATTGTAAATATTCACTGATTTTAGAGAAAGATAAATATTTTGGAAAAATAATTATTTTCCTTAAAAAATTACACATTTTTCCAAATTATCTATGGTGAAAATTGTCAAATTTCTTCAGGAACAAAATATTCAGATGTATCTTTAAATTTTAACTTACCAAATATTTAGTCTGAAGTTAATTGAAATGTAGTGATTGTATCAAGTATGTCAAGTGACAATATACTAGCTGATACAACAACAACAACAAAATCAAGAATCTTCTCAGAAAATTAGTTTTGTTAACTTCTATGATTTCGAATGACAATAAAACTGTAAATCTTTTCGAAACATATTGATTTGCCTGAAATTCTGGGTTCTTCTCCAAATTCAAAAGTTGAAAATAGCCAAATTCTTCCAGGAATATATAGTTTGATACATCTGCATACTTAACACTAATTATTATTTAACAGATAAATATTCAGTCTGATATCAGCTAAATTGCCCTGATTTTGTGATGTGTAAGGGGGTTCGTTACCAGGTCAATTCCTAGTATTTGAGATATCTACACCGTCCCTTAGTACAACATATACATGTATCGGATTTACTACAACTACATGCCGCCCGGGCATGCTAATGTCACATGAAAATATTTTCAGCACAAAGTATCCTTAACCATACATATGTACAGGCATTGCTGCACACACTGCTGTCAACAGTGTTGTTAGGGCGGGCGACAACAATGCGCGGTCTCGGGCCACCACACCGCTCTACCAGCTCCGCTTCCAACAAACCACCGCGTTTCTAGTTCGTAAATGTATATGTGCGAGGCTTGTCGGAGCGCCATGCATATGTATGTTACCTGTACACCAGACCGCCACCTACACTAACACCGCTCCACCGATCACCTCGCTCCCTATCACCGTAAGTGATTAGAAGTAATTAAGGGTCTATCTAGGGGTCTGATGGTATTGATATGATACTTAATGAATATTTTATTGAATATAGAGATATTTGTTCACCGGTTTTATTAAGGTTATTTAACACTATGTTGCAAATAGGATATTTTCCAGAGTCATGGGCTCAAGGCGTCATTATTCCTTTACATAAATCATAATCATATACATTATTATAATTATAATAATAATTATAGGGGAATTACATTAATTAGCCATTTAACTTAACTGTTTACGTCGTTGTTAAATAAACGTCTGTTAAAATGGAGTAAACGGAAAATAATTTTTCCGATGCTCAGTTTGGTTTTAAGCCTGGGTTTGGTACAAGAAACGCAGTTTTTGGATTACATAGTTTAATTATCAATTCCATAGAACGAAACAAGAGGCTTTATTGCGCTTTTATTGATTACAGTAAGGCATTTGATAGTGTGACACACCAGAATTTGTGGTATAAAGGGTAGACTACTTAAGGTAATTAAATCACTTTATGATAATGTACGTTCATGTGTGAAATTACATGGTAAATTATCCGCCATGTTTGTCTACATGTCGGACTATTACAAGGGGAATCGTTATCTCCCATACTTTTTTCATTATTTGTAAATGATATGGAAAGTGAATTTATAAATTCTAATCGTCAATGTTATGAATTACAGTTATTAAACCTGTTTATGCTGATGTATGCGGATGACACAGTTTTATTCTCGGAGGATGCTACCGATCTTCAGCATATGCTAGATCGTTTACAGACATACACTGAAAAAATGGAGTTTAAATGTTAATATAGAAAAAACTAAAGTTATTGTTTTTAGAAAAAGAAAAAGAATGTTACCTTATGAAATTTGGACTTTCAATGGTAAATCTATCGAAATTGTTGATAAGTTTTGTTATCTTGGATTAGTTTTTAACTATTATGGAAGATTTACTGTAACACAAAATACGTTAGCTTGTCAAAGACGGAAAGCATATTACCACTTAAAAAGAAAAATGAAAGATTTTTGCCCTTAATACGGAAACTAAAATGTCCTTATTCGATACATATGTTGCATGTATATTGAATTATGGATGTGAAGTTTGGGGGCATAATATATCGCCACAAATTGAAAAAAACATCTCCTTTTTCTCAAAGACCTATAAAATGTTAAGAAAACTGTCAATACTTCTATAGTTTACTTTAAAACTGGGAGATATTCATTATATGTGCAACGTAAAATGGCCATAATGAGATATTGGTTTATTTCTTTAAATATTAGTAACTGTGTTTTAAAATCATGTTACGACGCATTAGTCGAACTGAATATCAGAAAACCTAATTGTACAATGAATTGGGTTTATCAAATTAAGCATGAACTATGCAGTTTGGGTTTTAATTATATTTGGACTTGCCAATATGTACAAAATGAAAATCTTTTTATTGCAAATGTATGCTCAACGTGTTCATGATGTATTTATCCAAAAATTACGCAGTGCTTTTGATACACTTCAAAATGGTATTTGTACAAGCATCTTGTTGATACCTTTTGCGTCCAGTTCTATCTGACTAAGCCCATTAATATAAGGATAAAAAAAGTGATTGAGTCATTTTCGCATGCAAGCACACAGTCTTAACATAGAATATGGGCGCTATAATAGCATTCCAAGAGGTCAGAGAATATGTACAGTCTGCGATAAAAATGATATCGAAGATGAAGTACATTTTGTACTACTTTGTCCTGCATATTCTAATTTAAGAAAAACATACATCAAACAGTATTATTATCGACATCCAAGTGTCTATAAACTAAAAGAATTATTTACCTGTAAAAGTGTTAAATCTTTAAATAGACTGGGTAAATATTTGTGGCACGCTACTTCTAAAAGAAAAATTCTTCTCGCTCAGTAGTGATATTATATTCAAACATTATTTGAAACTACTTTGTTATAAGTGTACATGTATAATGATAGTTATTTCAGATTCGTTAATAGCGCGTTAAATAGTACTTTAATGACATCACATGGTTCTTTCTGGTTGTTTGAAGTTATATGTAGTGTTTTCATTATGATGTCATCCTTCCATGTCGTCACATATATACAGGTAGTAAAGTCACACATATGATTACTAGTATATTGTTATATACTTCTCACAACTTTACGAAAAAATTATGCTGTAAAACTGCAAGTGATATCATTAGTACATGTCTGTAGGCATATATATATATGAATGGAATTGTCCTCCGCCATCTTGTACATCACATATGAATTTTGAATATTTAGTTATGTATGTTTGTAATCTATATGCTGTATTGCATTTGGATATAATAAAACTTGAAAAAAAACTTGAGACAGGTAACTTTCACACAGGTAAGTTACCTGTGAGGCAAGTGTGAAACAGACTATAATTGGTTTGCCATTGTCTTCCTATATCAACACTTTTCTTTGTTCTCTAAAACGTGGGGGAACAGAGAACACCCCACTACCGGAATGTTTGAAAACGGCATTTCTATTGTATTGCCTGGTTGTCATTTTATCATTTATATATAAGCTGAAAAATCATTTGTAAAAGTGATATATTTCAGTATTTGTTTTGAAATTCGCAGTATCGTAAAGTAAACATCACATGGAAAACTACGTTGACGTAACTTAATGTTGTTGTCATGGTTGACTTTTCCGAGATATCGTTGTGCAGTTACAGCAAAATGTTGAAAGTTACAGGCTACTATGAGTTACATATAGATCTAGAATGTAACAATGTCATACCATATATAGCAGAAAGGTATATTACAGTAATGCATCACTGCACAATGTAACTATTTACCTCATTATAAGGCTGTTGGTTACAATGATAAACTGTGTATTAAAAAATAGAGGATCTGACACGAGTGTTCATGAAATATTGAATTTATTGAACGAGTTTATTAATTTCATATGCCTAATAAACGAGTTTAATTATGTAATTAAATACTACATGAACACGAATGCTAGATTCGATTCATTTTATAATTCGAGAAACACTTATTTTCTTTTCAGGTCTCCTCTATATAAATTGTACCGATGGTTGACGAAAGGACATGTTACATGCATTTTGTTTAGAGCGCGCTGCGCAACAAAAATGGTTTCAAAAACTTCTCCCCGAGAACCTTTTCACTGAACAAACAACCATTTAGGTTTTCTTCATCAACCAATGTTTTAATAATTATCATAACAACATTAGTAATCATTTTTATACGAAAGCTATTCAACGAATTGGCGTTTACGAAAATAGCAGTGACGTCACATATTTGGCACAACGGTGCGTGCACTGTCAAGGTAAAGGTAATTACAATACACATCGAAGTCTGCACTTTTTTAAAGTTAACAGGGACTGGAGTGATTATCACTCTCTATAACACAGTCGCATTTCTTTGGAGAGGGTTGTTGGTGAATGTGAACCTCGATGTTATACTGAGGAATCCGCCATGAAACTGGAACCCTGATGAAATTGACCGGTTACACGTGTTCGCCATTGATCTTGGAATTTGAACATGCAGGTGTTGGATTTGTGTGAAGATAACACTCGTGTTTATATAATATTGAATTTATTTAACACGTTTTCCCAGGCCCCTGCCTGTGCTATCAATGCAAACAGCAACTCAGTCAGCCATTTTTTTTTACAAACGTAGAAGTTGTAGTGCGTAGGAATATGACCTGTTTCCCACGGTGACAAGACTTTTTTGCATGTTTATTGTACGTGTGCTATATCGTTTTATTGAACGGCAATATTGCACGGAAATAGCCTGTATTAAATAATAATATAAGATATTGCTCTATCGCATAAGTTATATGTAATGCAAATTCGAACCCGGAACCTGCCCAACAATCGTTAGCGGGACCCTCTTATTAGATAAGCTATATATCTGCTAACGCCCTCTGCTTCGTCTCACTTTTGCACAGTTTTAAACGGATATATATGTGTAATTAATATATACCTTGACTTTATACAGACAAGAGGCCCAGACGGTCTGTATCGCTCAACTGAATATCTAAGCAATGATAGCAATATTATAATCAAAAGGAGTATGGCAAATAAGATACCATGGATAGGGTCAGATAGTATCCAAATCTCCACACTTAGCGCATTAATTGTTATAGGGTGGGGACCTTAAATGTTTTCATGTTATGATTCGGGGACTTAGTCCCTTTGGATTGGAGCAGATCCCAAGGCAGACTCTGGTACCATGGTTAAATTAATTGTGTTTGTCTCTTTATGACCAGCAATTGCATACATGGTTATAGAGTGGTGACCTCAACTGTTTCCATGTGATGACTCAATGACTAAGTCGGCAACTCTGTGGGTGGGACTAGACATTGGGATCAATGCCTAGATGTGCATCTTAGCATAGTCAGCAATTTTATATATGGTTAAAGGGTGGAGATCTTCATCATTTTTAGCTACAAATTATTTTTGATCCAACCCCTCAGCCCTAGGGTAAGCTTTTCCATTTAGACAATTTATAGGGTGTGTTCTCCTTTCTCCCACTTTTTATAAAATACAGAGAGGCATTAATGTTGTGATAGCAGTTATAGTCTGTTTCATATATATTTTACCTGGTTTTTACCTGTGTTCTCCCACATTACCTGTATCATATATACAGTACTGTGCAATACATGTAGCTTAGATATACATGTAGTCTATTTTCATCATTTTTAGACATTTTTTTCATATTATATACATGTACTATTTTCATTTTGGTGGTTTATAAAATTTGGGATTTTCATGTCTCTCAGGGCCCCCGTTTGCCCCTGAGGAGGGGGTGAAATTTAGTATAGTTTATATATGAAAAAGATAGAGGAGGTCTGCTGGTAAAATATTTATGAGTCTGACGCCCTAGGGGGCTGAGTTAGGGGCCAAAATGGGGAGAAATTTGGGAAAAAAACAAAAATCTTCTTCTCTAGTTACAAAAATGCCAGGATCAAATACTACCCATAGCTGTAAAAGCGTTTGGGTGGTTTATAAAAATTGTGATTTTCATGTCTACCTGCAGGCCCCCCGTTTGTCCCTGGTGAGGGGGTGGAAAGTATAGTTTATATAGGAAATATACATAATAGGCCATATCTTCCAATGTTTTGAACGGAGTTTGCTCATATTTGACAGAAATACTTTTTAGGGGAGGAAGGTATGCTGTTATACTTTTTGTGACCCTGACCCCCTAGGGGGCTGGGTTTGGGGTGAAAAAAGAGGCGAATTTCAAAAACCTTCTTCTGCAGTTCCAAAACTGCTAGTATCAAATACTACTCATAGTTGTAAAGGCCTTCGAGTGGTTTATATACTTTGTGATTTTCATGTCCCCAAGGTCCCTCATTTGCCTTTGGGGAGGGGGTAAAGTTTGGTATTGTTCATATAAACAATTCGACAAATGAACAGCCATCACATACTTTTTATCTCCAACCCAACTAATGTGCTAGTAATAGTAACAGCCTTAATTCTTTATGAATTATAAAGTCTCCATAGTAACGCTTCCAAGTTCTTACCCTGCATGTCTGAAGTGGTTACAAATTGGCATTACAGAGCAAATGTAAATATTGTGCCATGATTGCTTAAATAACCAGGTGAGCAATACAGGCCCCCTTGGCCTCTTGTTTGCATTTATAGTGACATTGTGATAAATGTGCTTGTTATGGAATTTTTATTTGGTGCTTTGGTAAAATTTCTTAAAATTATGGACTTTTCATTATCTGTGCTTTTTATGGTCTTTCCAATATTTTATTAGTTTAATATCATGTATCTTTGTGCATGTGTGCATTTTATGAATATAATTGATTTAACCAACCAGTGGTAGGTATTCCATGTGTACATGTAATTAATTTTGTTTTATTTATTTTTGTCCCAGCTTTGCATCTGTTTTTGCATATTTAATAATGTAATACATGATCTCTCTCTTTACTGATTATATTTGTCATAAATTGCTTGCTAAATTTAGTTCTCTATTTTATGAAATATATATATAACATACATGTAAATGTATAGTAAAAATGTATAAAATTGATTTTATGAAATTAACAAAAGCAGGTTTTCAGTTAACGTATTTTGATGTGTTTTTATTAAGTAATAACTGGAATCTTGTAAATATTTATTCATCATTCCAGTAAATATTACGAAAATCAGAAAATATATTTGTTAAATATTCCTAAAACTAACACAGTATTTCCTATTGCTGAACAGGTAAATACAGGTAATTAATCTACCTGTACTATACCAGAACAGGCTATAATGACACCTCTATTGTTTTCCAGTGTTTATATAATTCCTTTGATCAGAAAAAAGTGGGAGAAAGGAGAACAAACCATTTATAGACCCTATTACCTAGAGATAAAGCATTATGGTCAAATTGGTCCCGCCCCTAAGCCCCCAGGGGAATCGCCGGCCCCTTTATTTGTACAATTTTGGATCGCTACCATCTAGAGATGCTTTCACACAAGTATGGGTGATATCCTTTGCTAAGTTCTAGTTCTCATTTTATCTATTTCGAATGTTTCTTTTTATCGCTTAAGGATCGCTCGTTTACTTCTGTCACTGTTTTTTCTCAAGTAGTATTTGCTATCAAGTGGCTGAGTAGATAGGCTCAAAGGTTAAGGACTTCCCTTGAAAAGGGCATCTCGCAATGTTGGCCATTCGCATTGGTTTATGTAAATGGCATGATGTCATTACCCTGCTTATTGATACAAAATAAATTATTTTCATAAGCAAGACCACACACTCTTGTTTTTTTACTAACGAATCAGAAAGCATGAGTTTATTGCGCGGACTAAATGATGCAAATCACAGTCATTTCAGTGTCCGTATTACTATACCTTTGATCTAAGACACATAGATACTGCCCCGTTCCTGTAATTGCAATTTTTGTTATCAAATATATCTTATACGCGATAAGGATAATTAAATATATACAATAAATATATATAAATAAGTCCGATCTTGCCCCGTTTTGTCCGTTCCTGTAAATCCCCGCCCGTTCTTGCCCGATCCATACCAATACAATACTCATAATTCGTTGCAAATTTTTTTATCAAATATATCTTATACCCGATAATGATAATTAAATATATCTAATATATATATTCATTAATGTATATCATAATTAATATATTTCTGCCCGTTCCTGCCCGTTCCTGCCCGTCCCTGTAAATCGTCGAACCCAGATTTACCACCAGAATTACATATATGCATGCACGTGTGTTGTTTTCCCAAACGGTGTTAGAGGTTGTAATAACACTTTATGACAGCGCTGTCGACGCACAATTGCATAATTCATATTCAAAGAAAATCGGCCTCTTGTGTTATTCATACAAAAATAACACGAGAGGCCATTTTTCTTTGAATAACGCGTGAATAATGTTCAGTAAATACTCCTATACAGTATAGGAGTATGTACTGAACATTATTCACACGTTAAAACAGCTTTGCAACTGAGAATGTTATCCAAACACACATACACACACACACTCTCTCCCACACACAAATTAGAACATAATTAATTCACATAAACATCGCGTATCCTTCCACCCGGAAGTTCTTATTCAGACGTTATAAATAGAACTGTCTATATATAAAAACACCTAAAAAATAACGGCCCTGACATTTTAGATGTCCGCAAGGGTACATACAGCACATGCGTTAAGAGTGTATGACTGTCTTTCAGTTTTCTTCACGGTGACCGTTTCAGCTGTGATCAAGCTCCCATCATTGACAGCTTCCTGAAGGTAAACGATGAGCATGTTTTGTTGTGTTTTTAAGTGTACACTCTCAAATCTTATGTATGGCAGGTGGTGGTTTTTTTTCTTGTGTATATGAACAAGATATGGTAGCCTTACTGATCCTTGCATAAGTGACATATATAGAATCTTAAATGAGTTTTCATTTTATAAATATAAATAATACTTAATATCAGGACTTAAATCCGTGATAATCTACTACAGTATATACAAATAAATCAAATTAAAATGATAAACTGTTAATCATTAAAAGCGAATATTGTAAATATTCACTGATTTTAGAGAAAGATACATTTTTTGGAAAAATAATGATTTTCCTTAAAAAATTACACATTTTTCCAAATTATCTATGGTGAAAATTGTCAAATTTCTTCAGGAACAAAATATTCAGATGTATCTTTAAATTTTAACTTACCAAATATTTAGTCTGAAGTTAATTGAAATGTAGTGATTGTATCAAGTATGTCAAGTGACAATATACTAGCTGATACAACAACAACAACAAAATCAAGAATCTTCTCAGAAAATTAGTTTTGTTAACTTCTATGATTTCGAATGACAATAAAACTGTAAATCTTTTCGAAACATATTGATTTGCCTGAAATTCTGGGTTCTTCTCCAAATTCAAAAGTTGAAAATAGCCAAATTCTTCCAGGAATATATAGTTTGATACATCTGCATACTTAACACTAATTATTATTTAACAGATAAATATTCAGTCTGATATCAGCTAAATTGCCCTGATTTTGTGATGTGTAAGGGGGTTCGTTACCAGGTCAATTCCTAGTATTTGAGATATCTACACCGTCCCTTAGTACAACATATACATGTATCGGATTTACTACAACTACATGCCGCCCGGGCATGCTAATGTCACATGAAAATATTTTCAGCACAAAGTATCCTTAACCATACATATGTACAGGCATTGCTGCACACACTGCTGTCAACAGTGTTGTTAGGGCGGGCGACAACAATGCGCGGTCTCGGGCCACCACACCGCTCTACCAGCTCCGCTTCCAACAAACCACCGCGTTTCTAGTTCGTAAATGTATATGTGCGAGGCTTGTCGGAGCGCCATGCATATGTATGTTACCTGTACACCAGACCGCCACCTACACTAACACCGCTCCACCGATCACCTCGCTCCCTATCACCGTAAGTGATTAGAAGTAATTAAGGGTCTATCTAGGGGTCTGATGGTATTGATATGATACTTAATGAATATTTTATTGAATATAGAGATATTTGTTCACCGGTTTTATTAAGGTTATTTAACACTATGTTGCAAATAGGATATTTTCCAGAGTCATGGGCTCAAGGCGTCATTATTCCTTTACATAAATCATAATCATATACATTATTATAATTATAATAATAATTATAGGGGAATTACATTAATTAGCCATTTAACTTAACTGTTTACGTCGTTGTTAAATAAACGTCTGTTAAAATGGAGTAAACGGAAAATAATTTTTCCGATGCTCAGTTTGGTTTTAAGCCTGGGTTTGGTACAAGAAACGCAGTTTTTGGATTACATAGTTTAATTATCAATTCCATAGAACGAAACAAGAGGCTTTATTGCGCTTTTATTGATTACAGTAAGGCATTTGATAGTGT